GAGAGCATTCTCGATCAGAAAGCATGGAGAGCTTGATCTGAGAGCATAACTCGATCAGAAAGCATGGAGAGCTTGATCTGAGAGTATGACTCGATCAGAAAGCATGAGAGCTCGATCTGAAGCATAGCAGAGCAGAAAGCATGAAGACTTGATCTGGAGCATTGCTCGATCAGAAAGCATGGGAGCTTGATCTGAGAGCATAGCTCGATAGAAAGCATGGAGAGCTTGATCTGAGAGCATAGCTCGATTAGAAACATGAAGACTTGATATGAGAGCATTCTCGATCAGAAAGGCTTGGGAGCTAGAGACTATGAGCTCTTTTAATATGAGAGATTTAAGCCGTGATCGGAGTGATTGGCACGCGATCTGAATCTGAATATCAAGTGATCTAGCATGCATTTGGCGATCTGGCCACGTGATCTGAGAACTCTGATTTGGAACATGCTTAGTATTTTGATGATAACTTGAGCTGTAGACCTTATATTTGGGATGATTCTTGGACCTTCGAAAAGCTAACCAAGGGCTACAATTCTTATGTTTACCACTTATCTAGATTCAGACTTTATCCTACTCAGATTTTCACATTTGATGACATGATTCTAGATTAAGAAGTGGGATTTTGTGAAGAAGTTAAGACTTGAGGGAAAAACATTGAGAGCTGTTGTGAATCAGGCCCTTCTTCTAGCGCCAAAGTGTTGATACAAAAACTCTCAACCAACCGAGAATTCCGATTGACCCTGTCGGAACCGAATGGATGTGCGTGTGATTGGATAACTAGCAGTGGATAAATAATAAGCAATAAAGTAAATGCAAGAGATTTTTAAAGTGGTTCAGCAAGTTAGAACTTGAGCTTACATCCACTGTTATCTTATGTTTTTGAGAGTTTACAAAGAATAGTATAATTCATAAGAAAATTTCCTTGAACAATTGCCCAGCCCTTCTTGAAAACAAGGTATGATGGGTTTATATAACACCCATTTACATGATAGAGTTGAGATAAGATTCAAATACGTAGGATTATGAATTGCATGATCTTCGCTACCTTAGTTGGAATCTAAGTCAATCTGAAATCTTCCTTCCAATGAGTTAATCTAATGTCTTCTCTCCTAATAGGGAATTATCCTCTCCAGATTGACCGCACAAAGTATGATTACTTAATTCATTATAATATCATTATAGTATGATCACATAATTAATTATAACCATTACATAATGAAATGATTATTTAACTATTATAAACATTATATTACTACATTAGTACGATATTTATTAAATGATTAGAAATTTAATTATACATTACTTATAAACAAATGATTACTTAATAATTATAACATTCATTATAAATATTAGTAAATACTTAATTAATAATTGAAAATTTAATTAATTATAATATTACATTAAAGATTATAGTATGATTACTTAATTCATTATAACATTACATTATAGTATGATCACACAATTAATTATAACATTACATATAAATGATTACTATTATTATTATGAATTTATATTTAAACATTAGTATTTATACATTATACAATACTAATTAAATTATTAGAATTTAATTATATAGCATTACATTATAAATTTATAGTATGATTATTTAATTAATGATTACTGATTAATTCTAAAATTATATTATAAACATTAGTACAATACTAATTAAATTATTAGAAATTATTAATTAAAACATTAACTTTAATTAAATATTACTTAATTAATATAACATTACATTAGATTATAATCACTTAATTAATTATAATTTTAACATTTTAAAACATTAGTAATTTACTATATTAGTACACTCTTAATTAATGATAAAAATTAATTAGTTATAATATTACATTATAGATTTATAGTAGATACTTAATTAATTATAATATTTCATATAAACATTAGTATACTTATTAAATGATTAAAATTTAATTAATTATAATATTAATTATAGATTTATAGTATGAGTTTTTTATTATTGTTTGTGTTTTGGTTTTTGATTGACGAATTTTATGAATTGTGATGAATTGATTGAATTCAAGTGTTGCCTAGAGATTAGAGGATTTATGAGTCACATTGGATACAATGAATGAGTAATCAAAATTTGTTAGGGGTGTATTTGTAAACTTTTAAGGATTTTTTGTCATTTTTAAACAATAGGGGTATTATTTTTTATTTACCTGAGAAGGAACCGGAACTGATTTTAGATTCCGGTTCCTTGAATTTAAGAACCTGACTGTATTGTGCGGTTCCGTTTCGGTTCCTTTTTTTAGGAATCTGCACTGTTGCAATTCTGGTTTCGGTTCTGAAAAATGCAGGTACCAAACCTCACCCCTAGATTTGGCTTGATTTCGAAGAAAGAATTTCGGATTTAAAGGGTTTCAGATAGGCTTGGTTTGCCCTTATAATTGAGGCCAAAGCCTCTTGCATTGTGGTCTTGTGTCTTCCTATATTTCAGTCAGGCCCAAATTGGAGAAAAATTTAGAAGAAATTTAAGACGAGAGAACAGAGAAGAGAGAAAAAGACTGGACTTGACCGGTCATATGGCAGTTTATAGTAAATTCCAAATAGACCACTAAGATTGTGTTTCCATCGATAAAAACATATTGAACAGGGGTGTATGTATAAGTCAAACTGGCGAAAAGTGAAAGAGATACCAACATTACTATAGGTTATCAGATGCACATTACTTTGCTTCTTGTTCCTAATATCATCCAAGACTCTGATGTCTCCAAATGAATTTGCACCTTACTAATCACCGTTCTCACGATTGTTTGCTTTTCTCGTGCAAAATTGAACATGGGCTCATAGTTTATAGTTATGGGTGGGCTTTTTGGATCGTTTCATTCTATTCGGTTGTTACTTTACGATGCCTATTAGATTTCAAAAAATAAAACCGAACTGAACTGAAACCAGTTAACCGAAAAAGATCGTTACGGTTCGAAAAATTCAAAAAACCGATTTTCGTTTGGGAAAAAATAAAAAGGATTAACCGAACCGGTTTTGACAAATATATATATAAAATATATTATATTCATTCATTTCTATTTGTATCAATTTTTATGTATTGTTAGTAGTGGTCAATATGTAATGAATGCATTTAATTTTTATTTATATGTATTGTTTATATTACAATTTAATTTAGAAAAATAAAAAATAAGTTTTATAAAAAAAAAGGAAAAACCGGTTCAAACTTTAACCGCTTTTTTTTAAGTGTTAACTGTTTTTTAACCGATCGTTTTTCCTTAAACGGTTTGTTTGGTGTCAAGAATTTTTCAAAACCGATAAAATGGTTAACGCTTTTGAACACCCTAAATTGCTAAAAACAGTGGTGGGGTGGTTTTGTTTTTCTTCAGGAATCTACAGTGATGGGCTATCTGGGCCGTTGATCTGGGGTTTGAAATTTCAGTAAGGAGTTAGGCCGTTGGATTGGATTGCAGCATAACAACCTTTTCCTCTCCTGTTGTCACCTTTTGCAATACAAATACAACATTATATGTAACAGCTTATGTTTTTCTTTTCTTTTCTATCTCCAAACCTTTCTCACATCTCACCCACTTTGCAACCCTAATTCAAAATTGAAACCTCTTAAAATCCAGAAGTTCCCCACTTTATTTTGAAACTTTGGTTTTCGAAAATGGGAATATGATCTTTAGTCTATTCATGAGAATATTCAATCCCTCGAATTAAAGGAGTTTGATCACTTATTAAGGTCGATGAATATTTTATAAATTCTAAGCCTCAAAGCTATAATGCAAAGTCCAATCATGCTCAACCAACTTTTAACTAACATTTTCACTTTGATGGCTCTATCAAAATTGACTTAAAGGCAGTGGACCTTCTGTCTAAGAAGTTGTTAGATTGAAAAGATATGGAAAGTGTAGCTAACTGAAGGGAAGCCATTAGCTGATATTATGACAAGTGTCAAAACACCTGTCCAGTTTTTGTAACTATTTCCTTTGGTGGTTTTTCTTAAACCCTATCACTGATGTGGTCTGTTCTTCTTCACTTTGATGATCGTGAGATGGGAATATTGATATAGCATTGACATGGACCTCATTATCTTCAACATTTGGTCAATTTGATCTATTATGTTGTATTTTTGGAATATAATTTTCTTTGTAATTGCTCTCTTCGACTTAAACACAGACTTATAGGTATAATAACTCAGTAGCTAAATGATTTGTTATCACCTACAACGCGAGTCAAGAGCATCTGTTAATTGGTGTAAGGTTTGTAATTGTTTGACTTCCAAAGACAAATTTTGGGGTGGTCAAGGAAGGATTCGTTCAAATTGTGATTGTGACATAAATAAATTTACATCTTTATTTTTATTACCAAGTTAATAATGAAAGAATCAATTCAATTAATTAATGTAGTTTCATTATTTAACCAACACCTAATGATAATTATGTTCTGCATGTGATGATTCTAAATTGGATTAATACTGCTATTAACCTACCGAAATGTGCCTTGGCAAATGGTGGTGTAAGATTTATATATATTTGTGTTGCAGAATAAATAACAAATCAAGTGGCGCAGCGGAAGCGTGGTGGGCCCAACCCCCAGGTCCCGGATCGAAACCTGGCTCTATAAAAGAGTGCTTCTGCCCATCTTTTTTTTTTTTTTTTTTGGAGTCGCATATTTGTTGACATAGTCTGAGGAATATGAGATTCCTCTTCTATATAATGAGTTAGACCTATCATTTATTAAAGGATTTACTGAAAAAAGAGAAGAACAGGTCCTGCTTCAACATGTGCAATAACTTTTATCATTGATGAATAAGAAGTCTAACAATCCTATACGATTTTATACATTTGAAGTTATTGCTACAAAGGAGATACAATAAAAATATCTCCACTTCCCTTACAGGAACTATCATTTTTGTCATCATGACAGTAATTTATCAGATTAAGAACGGTCCTTATTTGTTTCTTCATCACAAATACTGAAAATTTACCAACATCAATCAAGATTTCGAGTAATTTATTCGTATCATTCTTTTCTGTTTAATCTTCAAAGAACTTGCAATAGGATCAACTTGAAGGGACTACAGAAAGTTCCAACCGCCCTGTCCATTCTTCACCTGGCTTCAAAGTGATTGGTTTTTCAATTGCTGCCCCATCAGCGCAAAGCATCTGTTTGAATTCTTCATCTCCAAAATCCACCATGGATTTTGATTTCTTCTCCCATGGATTCCATACCACTGAGTAAAATCCAAAGAATGAAGTCAACGTTTGTCATGCTTTCCAATTTTGGGTTGGGGTGGGATAATAAGTGAGGTTTAGTATTACCTAAATTGATAGAATGTCATATGCAGATATGCTTTTCTTTGGTGGGTACTATAAGCTATTAAAGACTACCAATATAGTTTGGCTTCAACATGAGTAGAGAAAAGCTTACCGACATCTGGGAGTCCTTCTTTGCGTATAGTAAATGTCCGTTTTCTTTCATGATCAAATATTGCAATCACATCTTTCGAATTAAGATAAACCCGATCAACCTGCAAAATTGGAAAGCATCTAAAAAAGTGAGAACTTTCTGCAGCAGCACTGATGAAGTATAGTCATGCACATCTATGAGATCTATATAATGTGGTTGCATATAGAAGTTCCTTTTCCTATTTTATCACCAGAAGGTTCCTTTCTAATAAGCTTTTAAATATTACCTCAGATTCAAATGTTAAGGCATCTCCTTGTTCGGTGAAACGTTCCTTTTGACATAAGTTATCAAGATAGTCAAGAGTCTCCAGCCCTTCTATCCGCACTTCACTGTTAGAACAAATAATATGCTTTATTAGTGCTGATCATCATTATACAAGGTTTACTGAAGCTTTAGCAGTATTTCCATCCCTAACAATAGCTTCCAAAATAGATGCTTAAAAGTAGAATCAATCATATTACCACTATGAATATTCATATATACCTGATATCAGAGATGGAGAAATATGTATGGTAGGCAATTGAGAAACTAAATGGCTTGCAATTGATATTCCTGATGCGTGAAATCATTGTAAGATACCCATCGGCTGCCAATGACACCCTAAGACGAAACTCTAAACTGTGAAGGACAAATCCAGTCATTACAATTAAGTACAACTTGACAGAATAATTAGTCAAATAATTTTGGTGAGCAATTGGTCCAGGCTCTACTGTTCAACATTATGCAGGTTAGCATCTTTGAGATGTACTCAATTAATTTGCAGGCGCATAATGGTTTGTAGCTATATAGTTAGATCTACCTGTGTGGCCAGGTCTTCAAATCTTCTTCAGATGACTTAAGCAGCAGATCAACATACGTCTTTCCAAGGGAATCACTGGGATGCAAAGGTGGTGGATTGTCATCAATGACCCAAATCTTGTTCCTGGCAAACCCATGTTGCTCTAGTGATCCTCGGTTCCCAAACTAACACATATTGGAGAGCAAACTCACAAATTAGGCATGTCAAGACTATGACAAAACTAATACATTTGAGCATCAAAATACCTGTGGAAAGCATATGGGTATTCCTCCTCGCACTGCATGTGGCGGCTTGAAGATTGCCTGGATTTAATAGAATTCATAGACAGAAGAGACAAGAAATTGGAAAATCAGTTAATGTTTATAGGATTTATAAGATATATCATGCTTTGACACAATAGTAAAATATCACCCACCTGGAATACCTATACTACAAATTAAGTTACAATGAAATGGAAAATAGAAAATTCAGAAGTTTACCTTAGTACTTGTGAATAACAACTCTTCTCCCCTGTCGGTTCTCCATGAGAGCACCTGTCCTCCATGTAAGCTAATCTGGAAAGATGTCACAGCATCAACTTATGAATCAGAAGATGTATTTTTCTAAGCTAGCCAAAGCAGCAATTGGCAGTCAGAATTTTATAACCGAATGAGTTGGAAAGATTACAAGATTAAAATGAGTAAAAACTAAAGAGGAAAAAGATTCTGACCGTTGCAGAAGCCCCTCGAGGGTTCCGAAGCACAACCTGACCGATTCCATTTCTATCCTTGGTAACTTCAACTGCTGGTCTCTGATCATTGGCTGCCCCAGAATGATTCATAGTGAAAATACAATAAGGACAATATAAGAGGAAACAAACAAGACAGAACTCTCTCGCCCTCCTTCTCAATCCAAAACACAATGATTGAAGCAAACTTTGGAACTCCAAAAAGAAATGGCCTGGGGATTGGTTGGATCTACTGAGTAGTACAAGAGTTTTTGTGATCGAATCCGGTTCACATCAGGTGGGAAATGTTTTGGCCTAAATTTGTGAGCTTGAAATATTAAAAAGAGGGCTTTGCAATCACTCAAGCAGTTGAGAAATCTGAACTTGCCCCAACACTTTTCTTGTGACACACCAATATTGTCGTGAAATGAAACTGAAATTCCAACTACTTTTTAGTCTTTCTTCACCGCCAAAAACACACGTCTCCTCAAAGACTCGGTCTTGGTAATATGATTTCCTTTGCAAACTACCCAGAACTCACTTTCAAACATTATCAATATCTATCAAAGCAACAGAAAAATAGAGAACGAAGACGACCAACAATAATAATTACCCAGATAGACAAAACCTCTTTCAATGTCAAGATAGAAACCAAACAGCGGTTCCAATAAGGCTAACAGTGGCTCTAATAAGCCTAACAGTGGCTAATTCGCACTCAAATTCCTTCAACTGCCCTACCAAATTGTCCTACTGGATTTCTCAATAGACTACAAAGAATACCAAACTGTCCTACTGGATTCTTCATCTTTTTGTCCTGTATTTTTAAATATCAAACATACTTGTCTACTCTACCTAAAGCCTTGAAGATTATACTGTTTATACTATTATAGCATACTTTGGAAGAGCTAGGCCCTCCTCATAAGGAAGAACACTTTTTTGTTTAATTGAAAAACTTCATTGTTATTTATTTTTTTTGAAAGGAAAAAAAAAGTCTATGCTAGGCAAAGTATAGGCTGATGAACAAAGTGATACAGTGAGAACATAAATTCCATGTTATTGATTCTACTCATCATAATTGGGAAAATAGGCTAAATAATTTATATACTATACAGTACTTGAAGAATGCGTCCAGTTTTTGTTCTCCACTCTACCAATAAAGAAGCACCAAAAGCAAAGAGTTATAGTTATGTTGAACTTGATAAAGGTTCAACCAACATGCATAAGAACCAGGGAAATGCTTGACATTCATTGACTCATATGTACACATATCTCTCAGAGTATTTAGTATTTTATCAGATGCCAAAGAAACAAAAGATTATCACTAAAATGGATTTGAATCAAACATATAAAACTGCTTTAAAAGCACTTGCATAATAGAAATTGGATAGGCATGAGATACGCTCTAGCATAGTGGCTCGAATCCACGAACAATGAATAACGAATGCACGAGAAGATGTCGAATTCACGACGAAACAATTCACAAAGGAATCATCAAGAAATTTTATTTAAAAAAAATCATTCATCATTGTTTGTAGAATAACAAGCCCATTTATGCTAAACTAATCCTAATGTTACTAGAACAAGAAATAAGAAAATCCTTATATTATGTATCATTAGAACAAGGAATTATATAATAAGAAAGTAAGGTTTAACTAAATTGAAACTTCCTATATAAACAAAACTCCAAACGAAATGAAGAAACTACTTAAATTCCTAAAATGAAACCCTAAATAACTAAGAAAGGGAAACAACGGGGAATCATAATTTAACCATAATTTTCCTACATCACCAAAGGACTCAATTGCACAAATTCACTTCCACCTTTTCACAGACATCACTCCATCAGATCTGATGTGACTTGATGCTGTGAAAAATATACGCCATCAGATCTAATGGAGTGATGTCTGTGAAAAAAACATTATAGACCATGCCATTTTGATAGACATAGGACCTTTGTACCAGGTAAGTTGGTGAGCAAACACAGATTTCCATTTGTCTAGGGTTTTGAACCATCGGAGAAAAGTCATCAAAGAGCGTAATTCAGGGGTTGAAGTTGACTGGTATTGCGAAATTATTTTCAACATATGATGGATCGGGAATTGAATGGCAATGTGGTATTGGTGTAACATATACCAAAAGAACCATAATAATTCTTCTGGAAATATGATATCAAGACCTGGAGGTAAACAAAAGATTTTTGAAAAGGGAGAATCTGGATGGACCCCTAACATATCATACATGGATTGACTACATTTTTCAATGCATTAAAGTTGGTAAGAAAACATGAGGGTGGTAGCATTTTCATCAATGGTACGAGTTCGAACAAGGTCATCGAATTCAGGAGGGACGTCTGGAGTATGGTTTAGTAAAGAGGATGATGAACAGGAACTAGACTGGATTAATGGTTGGAACATGAAACATGGAAGAGGTTTGGATCTAGGGTTCATGAAACCAACTTGCTTCGATTTAGGTCTGGATAAATAATCTGCAATGGTGTTGGTGCGACCTTTGATATGCTGGATGGTGAAGGAATATTTACTTAACCATTCTGCCCAGCGAAGTAACTGCTGATGCGGAACCTTTTTCTTGTGGAAACGTAGCATTTGATCAAAAGACTTTATATTCGTTTCAACAAAGAAATGATGTCCAACAAGAAGGAATTCAAACCTTTCAATGGCACTTTTTACTGCTAATACTTCCTTGAAAGTAGAATGATAATGCTACTGGTGTGGTTTGAATTGTCCACTCTGGTATCTGCACAAATGTCGTACCTTGTCCTCATCTTGTTCAAAAAGCACTGCACCCCAATGAGTGTCACTAGCATCCGTCTGAAGAATGCGTTTCCCTGAAGAAGGAATCTTCAACCGCTGTGTATGGAAGGATGCGCGCTTGAGACTCTTGACTGCATTTGTCTGCTTTTCAGACCACTCTTGAGGATTCTTCTTAAGCATCTGGGAAAGTGGAGTAGTGAAACGAGAAATGTTGGGAATGAAACTGTGCATGTAATTGGCAATTCCCAAGAATTGTTGAATTTCTTTCTTGGTTGTGAGAACATCTGGAATTTTTGCAATTCATTAGCAATATGAGGCTGAAGATCATACTTGCCATCAACAATCACCATACCAAGAAAATCAATCGTTGTTTTTCCTAACTACATTTTCTTCTCAGAGAGCATGATACCATAAGTGTGGATGATATCAGCAAAGTCACGAAGAAGACGTCTATGAGATTCCTCATCTTTTGAAAAGAGAAGGATATCATCGATATAAATGAGACATGTATGCAGAAGGGGAGCAAAAATCTTCGTCATGGCTTTCTGAACCAGGGAAGGAGCGACTTTAAGTCTAAAAGGCATGACTGTCCACTGGTAGTGTTGATTAGGAATGCAGAAAACAGTCTTATGACGATCATCAGGATGAATTCCAAGTTGCCAAAAGCCAGCTTTGAGATCAAATTTGGAAAACATCTTTGCATTATGGAGAGTTGCAAAAAGAACTTGTCTGGAAGGCAGAGGAAATTTATCATCACGGAGAAATAAATTCAATGGCTGATAATTAATAACAAGTCTAAGTTTTCCTCTGGCCTGTTCTGCCCATTCATTGACATAAAAAGCTTCACATGCCCATTGAGAGTCTGTGGGTTCAATCAATCCTTGAGATAAAAGTTGAGTACATTCTTGTTGAGCTAGATTGAGATGTTCTGGTGATTTGCCGGAATGACTAGCTTTAGTGGGATTGATATATTCGCTCTTGATGAATGGAAGACAAATAAAGAAATCCGAATTCTTCCATAATGGATGAGCACATTTAGTGAGAAAATCAGCATGAGAATCTGCGCAAGAGCGAGAAATAAGCTGGGTCTTGATCTGCTCAATAGGATTGCTTTCAATCTGGAATAAATTAGGCTGAGTGGTCCAGGATTGGAAAAACATCTTGTACCGAACACCATCAGGGAGGATTCTAAGTTTATTGAGTTTAGAGTAAACATCAAAACCTAGAACCATATCTTTGCCAGGTAGATCGGAACCAAGAACTTTATGAAAAGTGAAACATCCTGGGAAAATTTGGATTTTAATGGGTTTGCTGATCAGATGAGTAGTGAAAGTCTCACTATTAGTAGTGTAGAATATTTCCTGATGAGGTTTCCACTGAGAGGCTAGAAGGATCTTAGGGTTGATAATAGTACGAGTAACACCAGTATCAAAAAATGCTATGACTAAAACAGGATTTGAGTACTTTGTGGGGAAGATCTGGACTTTTGCTGTAGGTATGTGACATGAGAAGGCTAATGATGGAAGGGATTGTGGTGCTTGTTGGATATGGTAGAAATAGTGACAATCATCTGAATCAGAGAACTCAGTATCAGTGGCTGCAAACTAGAAAATAGTGTCTGAAGTGGGTTCTTCATCCATGGAAAACCAACTTTCAACATCATCATTAGAAAAAGTTTATATCTGTGAGCTGAGAAAGTTGTTGCATGATTTTGATTGACTGCTTGGGCTTGTTTGGACAAGTTTTGGCAAAATGACCGGGGTGTTTGCACAAATAACACCGATTACACCGTTTGCCTCTGCGTTTCCTTTTCCGAAGAAACTTGCGATGCTTGAAGTGTCGAAATTTATGTCAAGCCGAAGCATTAGGTGGAGAAAACCTGATGCGTCTAGAATGAAACTTCTTCTTGGTAGGACAATAACATAAGCGATCTGATTTGCATTTGATCTGCAAGTCTGGTCGTTGACAAACCTTTGTCAGCTGTTTAGAACGCTTCAGATACTCATAAAAAAATTGTTTTTGAGAACAGAGCTTTTCCAGAGCAAGAATAACAAACTGATAAATTTCGCCAAGAGAAGTGGATCCAAGTTGTTTGTTCTGGGACTGCATAAGCTTGGTTGCTTCATGACTTAGGGATTCAGGAATTGGTGCCAAAAAGGCTTGCTTCATGTTAGGATCATCCATACCCCTGTTGTGTCGTTTGCAACAACTACTAGCAAGTGCACTAGTCTCAAGTAATATAGTATAATAAAATACAGGTTATCATACCCAAGGGATTGCGTAAACAAGTACTGAAATATTATTTAATCTTAACTTTATCTAGATAATCAAAACTTAGAATGGTGATCTTTAAAACTGAAAATATTAAAATCTAAAATATTAAAAACAAATTGCAGTAAAACTAAAATTAAGAATTCAATGAGAGAAAACGGCTAAGACTTCAGGCTCATCTATAACTTCTCTACACCGC